AAAAAAAAAAATAAAGACCTGACACGAGGGAAGTTCCAGGCTGTTAACGGCGTCTGGCAGAATTATGTCCGGAATAGCAGTGAATCCTAGGTGGACAAAAATTTGAAGTACGTCAAGCGGTTGTCTTGACTCTGTCAGCTCCCGTGTCTTTTGCCCCCTGGTCCATCCGATTTCAAAGACGCCCAGACTCCTCCCTGCCTGGGTCTCCCCACTACTGTGCCCCGAGGAGACCAGCAGGTGTCCTTGACCGGGAGAAGATGTGCCAGATGCCGTGGTGAGGTGTGTTCCCCGGAAACGCCTCTGGCTTGTGTGCAGCAAACCACATCCGCTCAGAGTTCGTGAGCCGCAGTAAGGAAGGCTCTTTACCCAGCCTTTGATAACAAAGGAAGCTGTAAAAGCATACACCCCAAAACTCGGTGCGGCACCCAGAAAAGGGCTGGCGGCCTGACTAGCCAAGCGTCCAAGGAGTGAAAGGCTGTGGGGAGAGTCTGTGCAGAGCCGGCTGGGGGGAAGCTGGCCAGGGAACGGCTAGACCCCCGTGGGCTGGGGTGGGCGCCAGCTTGTGTCTCAGACAGAATTCTCCCTGAAACTTAACCCCGGGCGTTCTTTCTCCTCTGGTTTTCCCACCCAGCATATCAGTATATCCTTTGAGGCCTTACATTGTCACAGCTTTACTTCACTCAAGGAAGTGAAATTGAGTCTTGTGCATTTGATAACCCACTTTAGGAAAGGACGATAGGAGATGTTAATCAATCAGTCAGTCAGTCACCGTGAACCTTGGCCATGATGACGGCTCCGTAAACCCTTGGATGGCTGTAGCAGAAATGCGGGTCAGGCCCAGAGGAATGAGTCATTAGTCACTGGCCATATTGTCGCCCTGTCTGCTCCTGACACCATCCAAACCCCTAAAACTTCTATTTTCTTGGTCCCCTTCACCCAGGCTCTTTATCAACTGCCCCGCACCCCAGAACGATACTCTTTCAAGTTACTCAGCACGTTCAGTTTCCCCTTTCTTGATGCATAAATTCTTGAAAATTATTATTTTGCAGCACTTAAAGGAAAAACTCGCCTCGACGTGTGTCCAAATCCACAAAAGCATAAAAGACTTGAACACAAAATACTTTCAGAAAACCGGACGGCGTAATTACGTCACTCCCAACAGCTACTTGCGATTCATGGATACATTTGCTCACATTTTGAGGTCACGCCAGAAGGAAATGGAAGCAAAGAGGTAAGACTTTGAGGCCAAATCAGAAACGCGTGTCTTTTTTAAATTGGTGCTTTTAGGGGCACCTGGGGGGCTCAGTCGGTTAAGTGTCTGACTTCGGCTCAGGACATGATCTCACCATTTGTGAGTTCAAGCCCTGCGTCGGGCTCTGTGCTGACAGCTGGGAGCCTGGAGCCTGCTTTGGATTCTGTGTCTCCCTCTCTCTCTGCCCCTCCCCTGTTCGTGCTCTGTTTCCCTCTCTCTCTCTCTCTCTCTCTCTCTCTCTCTCAAAAATAAATAAACGTTTAAAACAAATTATTTAATAAATAAATAAATTGGTGCTTTTATTTGTAAAAGAAAAAGGAGACACAAATACAAAAGAACGAGCCGGAATCTACCTTCCCAAGGGGGAAAGACAAAAGCCCAAGAGGTAAGGCGTTCGGAGGCTGCCGCAGGGAGTCGGCACCTTCACGATGACGGCACGTGGGCACAGAAGGTCCTGCTTCGCTAACATCTCATCGTGTCTCACACCTTCTGAACCCTCTCTTCCCCGCAGGAGTCGTTTGCACATGGGCCTGTCCAAGATCCTGGAAGCCAGCGCTCTGGTTACAGAAACACAGGAGGAGCTCTTGATTCTTGGCCCTCAGATAGAACAAAAAACAAAGGTGCGTCTGGTGTGAAACCTCTTTTGAATACTTTATAGTTGAGTACGACAGGCTGGGAAGCCGAGCCCTCGCACTTGGCAGAGACGGATCAGAGCCCCGCTGTGTTAGCACGTGGCTGCGTGGCCTCTTGGGCTCAACTTTCTTATCGTAAAATGAGCAAAACAATAAGAATGATAGCAAAATAGTAACATCGTTGTATTTTCTAATTAAGTGTGATAGCAGGCATATAACTAATGATAAAAGCTCACACAGGAAAATTCTGTCATTCTTAGTTAAATCAACCCAAACTATGCTGTAGTAATTTGCAACCTGCCGGGTGCTCTAAAAATCATGCTTCTCACACTGCCTGGATGGCTCAGTCGGTTAAGTATCTGACTTTTGTGTGTGTGTGTGTGAGAGAGAGCGAGACAGAGTGTAAGTGGAGGAGGGGTAGAGAGAGGGGAGACACAGAATCCAAAGCAGGTTCCAGGCTCTGAGCCGTCAGCACAGAGCCCGACACGGGGCTTGAACTCACGAAGCGTGAGATCATGACCTGAGTCGACGTCGAATGCTTAACTGACTGAGCCCCCCAGGTGACCCTAAGCATCGGACTCGTGATCTCAACTCAGGTCTCGATCTCAGGGTCATGAGTTCAAGGCCCATCATTGGGCTCCATGCTGGGTGTGAAGTCTACTTTAAAAAATAGAAAATAAATAGTAACAATAATAATAATAAATTAAAATACAAATCATACTTACCACTCTTGACGTGCATTGCAAGAGAATGATCTCGGCTATGTCATCCTCTCTGGTTTCGTCTGTTAACCAAATATATTTAGGCTGATTTTGATACATTTTATAGTAATTAAATGAGCTGTGGATTTTTCTTTAAATGAATTTCTCTTCAAAAAAGAGATGCCGTGTCTCTGAAAATTCATCTTCCAAAGAACTGTGTGTTTCATTAGGAAAAGGAAGCCCTGATGGAAAGACTGTGGAGAGATTCACAAGTAGTTGAGAAAGTTCAGATGCTGGTTCAACAAGATGAAGAAATTATGGCAGAAGAAGTCAGAATTGTGGAAGAATGTGCTCAGGTAAGACTAAAATACAATCCATGACAATCACCTGGAGGTTTGCAAAATTATCCCCCAACCCCAAAATGTGAAGGTGGGTTGACTGCTGTTAAATCTATCGTGCTCAAGTATGGATGCTTTTAATTCTTAGCCCCACAAGGATTTATTGTAGACGGAACTGGGAGCACAGAGACGCAGGATCCCTGTCCCCCAGAAAGCTGCCTCCCCAGGCAGAGACAGAGACAGCCCGGCTCTCGGGGTCACCACAGCGGGAAGTCCCCTGAGCCACCTCACAGACACACGTGGCCTGCGAGAGGGGCGCCTGCGGGGACCGAGCCGCCCCGGGCACCCGTTGTCACCAGTTACACGCGTAACCGGTCTTAACCCCGTTTCACCGGCCGAGCCCTCCGAGCCCTCCGGTGGGAGGCCGGCAGGAATCCGCTCGGTGCAGCTGTCGGCCAGCTGCCCCCCCCGGGGCTGCTCGAGCGCACCCGCTCGGAGGGCATGAAGGGTGAGCCTCTCGCGTCTTCCACGGGCGGCGGTTTCTCCTCCATCAACTCCGTCCGTCCAAAAGCTACACGTAAGCCGGTCCCCGCGATCTGTGTGCAGTGACTTATTTGTAAATGACACGCACGAGCTCCTATCGCTAGCAGACGTCACAGCACAGTCAGCCCCCACGGGCGGGTTCGCGCGAGCAGAGTGGATGCGGACACACACCTCAGACGGTCCCCGAGGGGACTTACAGACGTGATGGCTGGCTCCGCGTCGGGCCCGATTCGATCAGCGTCGTGTTCACGTTAGGCCATGGCTGAGGAGAGTGGGGGCAGCTCATGGCCGGGACAAGCAGGGAGCGGCCGCCCCCTCTCTGCCCCCTCCTGCCTCCGGGTTCACGTCCCCAAGCCCCCGCTCCTCTCGGGAGCCTTCTAGGACCCTGTTCGTTTTGAGGGCTGGCTTACTTCACACTCGATGGCGTAAGAGCAAATGCCCTTCCTTGTATGCACACAAGCACACGTCCTAAATGGTGGGCCACCCCCTGCCAGCCCTCCCAGCGGTGGGCCTCTCCCCTCCCTCGGGTCGCCAGAGTCCCCCGTGGGCGGCCCGCGGGCCCTGCTGGGCCTGATTTCAGTCTTTAGCTTCCGGCCGAAAGAAAATGGATACAGAAGAGTTCATGTTTTGTTCTGCGGTTCCTGTTTGTGCCCCCATCACAGGGTGTGGCTTCAGGGACAAGTCCAGGTTGTGCGGGGCCTGAAGCTCACACGGCTTTGGGGGCATATTTTTTAGAATCTAAAATTACTAGTTCACAATTAAACATAAAAGTATTTATTTAGATAAGTAAAACATCAAATGAAATACAAATTTTTTTTTTTTAATTTTTTTTTTTCAACGTTTATTTATTTTGGGGACAGAGAGAGACAGAGCATGAACGGGGGAGGGGCAGAGAGAGAGGGAGACACAGAATCGGAAACAGGCTCCAGGCTCTGAGCCATCAGCCCAGAGCCCGACGCGGGGCTCGAACTCACGGACCGCGAGATCGTGACCTGGCTGAAGTCGGACGCTTAACCGACTGCGCCACCCAGGCGCCCCAGGAATACAAATTTTTAAAAGCTGACAGTTACTACAAACGTCACAAAATCTAGAAAAATAACATGGTAATGTTTGTTGATTATCTGCCTTAGATGCCCGGTAACGCCTCCCCCCTGCATTTTCCCACTGCGGGCTGAACGTGTCCTCGTGTGAAAATCGGGGCTATCGTTCCCATGGGGTGGCCAGCGCAGTTCACAAAGGTGCGGTTTTCGTTTTTGCTGGTTTAAGGCGTTTTCCTTCAATTTCATAATGTCACTGATAACACCATGAATATTTTTAACGTCACTCTCGATGGCTGTAGGCAAAGCGGCATTTCAAGGTTTCTTGGGCGGTGAATAATTTTAGATGTCGAGTGAATGGAAAGCATTCATTACCAATTTTCCACGAGTGTCTTCAGTTGTTTTCTGATATTCGTGTTTTCACTCATGTCAGTATTTCTTGCACGCTCAGCCAGAACCTTGAATTTTTCCAGTGTGATCACATGACACATTCTTCTTTATGAATTGGATTATTAAGCAGACAAGAGGCAGATCGTTACCTCTGTCCTAAATGTATTTTTTCCTCTTACTAAATTATAGCTTTTGGTATGACCTGAAAATTGTCGTCGCATTTCCTCCTCTCTCCACATAATCTGTATGGATTTTAGCACTTAATCCCTTTCGTGTTATGGTCCATGAATTTTTGCCTTCAATATTTATTTGTAAATAAAAATTTTAAATTATAAAATGAGGCACTTTTCACATATATCTGTGTGAGGAACTGTAATTTTTCACGGTTCATTGAGATACCCCAAAACAATTTTTTAAATGCAGTCACTATTCCCCAAAACTTAGAAATTCTGATGAATTCTTGTTGCGTAGCCTCCCTTCCAGAAAAGCGGAACACGAATGGCAGGCAGGTTTGGAATAGTGTGCCCTGCATTATCTGGAGTCGTTGCGAAGGCGTGAACTTCCGCTTTGAGTTAGGTGTCTGTGAGAACCTGACCCCCCACTTCCTGATCAACAGAAGGACTTTCCACAGAAAACCCGGGTTCTGGATGCAGATGTCGCCAGCCTCGTTTCTCTGCCACTACCCACTGAGCTCTGTCGTACGAATGTATCTTACAACAGGACCCCTGGCCCCAGCACCGCAGTGTCACACGACCAGGAAAGCTGGGGCGGGGGACGGCAGAAGTATCTGGAAGTCGTTCTGACTTGAGACGGCTTTTGCAATAACGGAATTATACAGAGAGGTGACCGTGCACGGTGTATAAACCCTGTGCGTTCACACGGCCTCGGGGTCTTCTGTCTATTGCAGAGAACCGCCAGAGAGATAAGGAGTGTGCTGCCAGCTCTGGACAAGGCCACCGTGGCCCTGAGCACCCTGGATAAAGCCGACATCACCGAGCTAAGGTAATGCACCTCGTTTGTTCTGAGTTGGAAAAGCTCAAACTGAAGCATAAACGCGTGGTAAAGTTAGGAGTCTGTATTCAGACATTTTCAGATTGAGTCCCTTTTGCCCGTCTTGGCTACTTTAAGTTCTTCGCTCTGTGCGTCACCTGCCGCACCTTCTCAGTGTCTGGTGCCATCAGAGGCAGGCGCGTTGGCATTTTTTGGAGCCTCAAGAAAGAAAACTGACTGCCAGGTAAACTGCGTGATGGGCTTCTGGCTGTGAACCAAACGCCAGTCTCAGAACGTGAGATGTGCCCCCGGGACCGGCGCAGCACCGTGTGCCCAGGTGTGCAGGCGGAAGCCGTTGCGGTTCCGGAAACCCCTGACGCGGGGTGATGTGGGGTCCCACAGGTGGGGTGACAGCGGTTGTGGGGCCGCTGCCTGTGCCCACGGGCTGCAGGGACGCAGGGACACGCGCCTGGTGCTGCAGCCCCCCGGGACCCACCGCCCTGTGCCCGAGCCCAGGCGCCTACTGCGCGGGAAGCCAGGAAGGACCAACGCATAGGAACATACCAGGAGAAATGAGATGCTCCGAGGTCCAGAACCTGACCTGTGTGTCTAGTTCGGATCTTTGGGTGAGACACTCCAGACTGGAGCTCCGCAGCCCAGCAGGCGAGACTTTGCCATCACCTCTCGGATGTGTTCCGTTTTCTATTATTTATAGAAAAGTAGGACATGTATTGCAAAACTTTTTTTCATGTTTATTTATTTTTGAGAGAGAGAGCACACATGTGAGCAGGGGAGGGTCAGAGAGAGAGTGGGAGACACAGAATCTGAAGCAGGCTCCGGGCTCTGAGCCGTCAGCACAGAGCCCACGCGGGGCTTGAACCCACGAACCGCAAGATCATGACCTGAGCCGAAGTTGGACGCTCAACCGCCTGAGCCCCCCAGGCGCCCCAGGAAAAGTAGTATTTCAATTAAAGATGCAGGAGTGAGCAAATCCACCATGATATTTACATTATGAACTCTGGGGACAAGAAGAGAAGACGACAAAGAAGCACTCTTTAATCAGCGTGACTCTACGGGGAGGACAGTGTGCGCCACGGGCTGGGAGGCTGGTCCCTTAGCGACAGTCGGACGCAGAGACAGACGACGGGAACAGAAGACGTTTTTGATCGTTGTCCTTTCTGGCCTCACTCACGGGAACGCGTCTTCACGCGGTCGTCCCGCAGACGTTCTCAGTGTCCGACGAGGCGGCCGGGAAGCGGAGGACCTCGTGAGGTTTGTACGTGAACCGGACAGGTGTCTGCAGGAGGAATGTTCTAAGCGGGAGAGATGGAAAGCGCCAAAGTCCAAAAGCACAAATGTGCTTCCTGGGTTTCAGGAGCTGCTGACGCCACGAAGGCTGCGGCCTGTGAGCGCGAGGGGGTGGCTGGAGGCGGCATGGGACGGGAGCCGCGCCCGGGCCTCCCCAGCGTCACCCGCCCTGTATCTCCCGACTGTGTCCCAGAAGTCCTTTTCCCTTGGCTTTTCTCCGGCAGATTCCCAGGAGAGCCCAGCTCGATTTCCAGTTGGCTCCTGAGCGCAGGGTGTGAAGGGGGCTGAGCCCACGGCTCCAGTGCCAGGCCTCCTGGGTTGGGACCCTGGCTTTGCCGCCTTCTACCTGTAGGGCCTCTCTGGGCCTCGGTTTCCCTCTTGTGCAGCGGGGATCACAGGTTGCACAGTAGAAACGTGTGAAGTGCTCACAATGGAGTCTGGCTTGAGGCAGGTGCTAAGCCACTTCAATGCTGACAGGTGTCCTTGGACCCAGCGCCCCCCCCCACCCACAGTAGCGCGGACAAACTCCCTCCCCCGGGGTTCCTTCCTTGTGTCTTGCGGGGGACGGGGGGTGGGTGTTTGTCTGTCTGGGATTCTCCCTTGTGATGTTGCTAAGGCACGTGTCTTCGACCCCAGTGCCAGATAACGGGGGAGCCTTGTGACACGATCATTGTTGCTGCTCTTAGGAAGTGCAGCAGAGACGCCCAGCAGAGACCAGTCCAGTCCGTTCTCCTTCCTCACGGCCGTTCCCAGCATCTGAGTGCAAACACAACGGCCCGGTGACAGCACGGTCCTTTGCCAGCTAGCAACGTCACCGCTAGCAGGGAGATAGGAGAAGGTGCAGATTGGAGCGGTAATGAGCCTCTAAAGCAGATTGTCAGTGTCAGTAGGTCTCACTTGGAATCGGGCATTTGTTTCCGGAAGGTGACATGTAGGCGGAACTGTAGTCAAGTCAATCTGTTTTCCCTTTAATTTACATTAAAATTTTAGAGATAATACATTTCATCTCAATTTGACTACATTCCTGTGATGTTCGCTTTAAAAAGAGGCAGGGACTCCTGGGCTGAGTGACCGACTCTTGATTTCAGCTCAGGCCGTGATCTCGCGGTTCGTGAGTTCAATCCCTGCATCAGTCAACACAGAGCCTCCTCAGGATTCTCTCTCCCTCTCTCTTGGCCCCTTTCTGCTCGTGCTCACTCGCTGTCTCTCTCTCTCAAAATAAATAAATAAACTTTAAAAAAAAAAAGAGCCAAACACAGGCAAAACTGAGGAAAAGCTTGTTTTTGGACCCTCATTTCTCCTCTGTGGACCTTGTCTCTCTCTCGCTAGTTCCTCTGTTATGATCATTCTCCTTATTTCAAAAAAGCCATACTGAGAATCCCAGAAAAGCAATCTGATAAATTAGTTCTAAACACAGTGTTGATGGCTTAGTCGGTCCTGAAAAATATCTGCATTTTAAAAGGAGACTGTAAAAGAACAAAGGTGAATCTAAACGAATGAATCTCTAATGATGAAATTTAAGGCGGGGCGGCCTTCCCGGTGACCCCTGTAGACAGTGTTGCACTCGTAAAGCTGGCTTCGTTGCCTGCCTTCTTTTGGGAAGTGTGTATGGCTTCGTGCGGGGGAGACCCATTACCACGGGGGGACCTGCCCTTTTGTTCCCGAGTCCCAAAGGCTGTCGCATAGCAACCACACCTGGTGGCTTTTCAGCGAAACTCGCTTCTTGTGACTGTTATCCTGACCCCTGGCTCTCCAGAGTGTCGCCTTCCCGCTACTCGGACTAGGACACAGCGAGAGGCGGCCTCCGGTGTTCCGGTAATCACATTATTAACCACCTGAGAGACGCCCCCTCCCGCACGGTGTTGTTTCCGTGACTTTACGATAGGAGCCCGAGATCAGGATGAAGAGAAGTCAGACGACGCATTTGAGGGGAGGGGTGTGCTGGTCTCATCACGTCGTCACTAGCACATCGACGCTGGGACGGAACGGGAGGGCTCCGACTCTAAGGAACTGTGCCCTGAGTGCGTTCATAGTGACAAGAACTGCCCTCTCCCTCACTGTTCTGCATGTTCAGGTTTTATCATTTCGTCTTCCTAAAGCAAAGATACCCACATTCAACAGGCCCCCCTGTTTAAAGATCCCCGAGGGTGAAATCGCATGACCGTGCCTGTTCAGCATCTGTGCGTACTGACCTCGTGGTTTCCCGCCCGCTGCAGGGTGTACACGCGGCCTCCCTCCCTCGTGCTGATGGTCATGAACGCTGTGTGCATTCTTCTGCAGAAGAAACCCAACTGGGCCTCGGCGAAGTTGCTTCTTTCTCAAACCGGTTTCCTAAAAAAACTGATCAACCTGGACAGGGACAGCATCCCCGACAAGGTAAGAGAGTCGGTGCCTAATTAGTGCGTAATTAACGCATTCCACCCCTTGGTCCCCAGTGTGGAACTTGGACCCGTGCGCTCCAACTGGAAGGCGGTGGTGCAGCAGGCCCCACGCCCACACGCGGTGGGGTTGCCGGGAGTGCCCGGGGACAGCAGCCCGCCGCGCCGCGCACGTTGGAAAACGCCTCCACCAAGGATCTCTGTAACAAGCGGGGAGGCCACCGGTGGGAGAAGGTCTCTCTGGGTGGATCGCACCACACCAGGTAACGCAAGGAGCGATTCAAGCGTCTGAGATTTTTTTTTTTATTTGAGATACAGTTGGCATGTAACGTTGTATTGGTTTCAGGTGTGCAGCATTCGGTGCTTGTTCCCGGAATGATCACCACAGCACACCTGCTTATCATCTGTCCCCTCATAGCTACAAATATTTTTTCTTAGGATGATAGATGATAACTTGCAAGATCTACTCGGTAACAACCCTCAAATGTACAACACGGTATTGTTAACTATAGTCATCGTGCCGTGCGTTACATCCCCAGGACTTATTTATCTCTCCTAACTGGCAGTTGGCACCTTTTGACCCCTTTCACCATCCCTCACCCCCACCTCTGGCGGCCACCGGTCCACTCTCTGTGTCTGTGAGTTCAGTGTTTTGTTTCAGATTCCACATCTAAGTGAGGTCGTCTTTCTCTGTCTTATTTCACCTAGTGTGATGCCCTCAAGGCCCATCCGTGTTGCCACACTGGGAGGATTTCCTTCTTTATTACGGCTGAATAATACTGCATTGTGTGTGTGTGTGTGTATCGCATTATATATGTGTGTGTGTAGATCTATATCACATTATATATTTGTGTGTATGTATATATATCACATTATATGTGTGTGTGTATATATCACACTATGTGTATGTGTGTGTATATATATATATCACATTATATATGTGTGTATATGTATCACATTATATGTGTGTGTATATATATATCACACTACATGTATGTGTGTATACATATATCACATGTGTGTATATATATCACATTATATGTTGTGTATATGTATCACATTATATATGTGTATATATCACACTACATGTATGTGTGTATACATATATCACGTGTGTGTGTGTATATATATCACATTATATGTGTGTGTATATGTATCACATTATATATGTGTGTATACATATCACGTTATGTGTGTGTTATATATATATCACCTTATATATGTGTGTGTATACATATGTCACATTATATGTGTGTGTATATGTATCACATTATATGTGTGTGATATATATATATCACATATACATGTGTGTATATATATCACATTATATATGTATGTGTGTATATATATCATTACATATGTGTGTTATGTATATATATGTCACATAATACGTGTGTGTGTATATATATTGCATTATTTGTGTGTATATATCGCATTACGTGTGTGTGTATATATATATCTCGCATTATATATGTGCATGTGTTATATGTATATCACATTATTATGTGTGTGTATAGATATGTGTCACATTATGTATGTGTGTGTAGATATATCTCACAATATATATTTGTGTGTATGTATATATATATCACATTATATGTGTGTATGTTATATATATCGCATATGTGTGCATATATATCACATTATATATGTGTGCGTATATATCATATCACATTAATTACATGTATGTGTGTATAGATATATATTATGTTATATATGTGTGCATATGTATATATATATATATCATGTTGATACATTGTGTTATATATATATATACGTTATGTGTGTGTGTGTATATATATATATCACATTATATGTATATGTATATATATCACATTATATGTGTGTGTATATATATCACATTAATTATGTGTATGTGTGTGTATATATATTACATTATATATGTGTGTGTATGTATATATATGTATATCACATTATATGTTGTGTTATATATATATCACATTATATGTGTGTGTATATATATATCACATTATATGTGTGTGTATATATATAACATAAGTGTGTGTATGTATATCACATTATATATGAGTGTGTGTGTATACATATCACATTATATATGTGTGTATATATATATCACATCATATATGTGTGTGTGTATATATATCTATCACATTATGTGTGTGTATACATGTCACATTGTATATGTGTGTATATATATATATATCACATCATATATGTGTGTGTATATATATATCACATTATATAGGTGTATGTGTATATACACATCACATTGTATATGTGTGTGTATATATATATCACATTGTATATGTGTGTTTGTATTTTTTCTTTATGTGTTCATCCTTCAATGGACACTTAGTTGGCTCCCATGTCTTAGTTGTTGTAAATAGTGCTTCAGTGAACATAGGAATGTATGTACCTTTGCAAGTTCGTGTTTTTGTTTCTTTTAGGTAAATGCCCAGAAGTAGAACTGCTGGATCATATGGTAGTTCTGTTTTCAATGTCATTGAGGAGCTTCCATACTTTCTTCCATGATGGCTGCCCCAATTTACATTCCCACCACCAGTGCACAAACGTTCTCTTTTCTCTACATCCTGCCAACATCTGTTGTGTCTTGTCTTTTTGCTACTAGCCATTCTGAAAGGCGTGGGGTGGTATCTCATTGTGGTTCTGATTTGCATTCCCCTGATGAGGAGGGATGTTGAGCATGTTTTCATGTGTCTGTTGGCCATCTATGTGTCTTCTTTTAGAAAAATGTACATTCAGATCCTCTGCCCATTTTTTAATCAGATTGGGTTTGGGGTTTTATTTATTTCTGGTTTTTGTTTTTGTTTGTTTTTGGTGCATTTTGGTTTTGTTTTTGTTTTTTGCTATTGAGTTGTATGAGTTTTTTATATACGTTGGATATTAACCCTTTATCAACATATGTGGTTTGCAAATATTTTCTCCCTCTGCGTAGGTTGCTTTATCATTTTGCTGATGGTTCTCTTTATTGTGCAGAAGCTTTTTAGTTTGATGTAGTCATATTTATTTATTTTTGCTTTTGTTACCTCTGTTTTTGGTGTCAAATCCGAAGTCATTGCCAAAATCGATGTCAAGGAGCTCACCACCTGTGTTTTCTTCCAGGAGTGTTATGGCTTCAGGTCTACCTCCAAGTCTTCAATCCATTTTGAGTTATTTCTGGGTGTGATGTGAGATAGGGGTCCAGCTTCCTTCTTTCACATGTGGCTGTGCAGTTTTCCCAACATCATTTATTGTACAGATTGTCCTTTCCCCGTCATATATTCTTGGCTCCTTTGACATAAATGAATCAACTGTATATATGCATGGGCTCATTTCTAGGCTCTCTGTTCCATTGACCTGTGTGTCTGTTTTATGCCAGTACCACACTGTTCTGATCACTGTAGCTCTGTAACACAGTTCGAAATCAGAAAGTGTGATGCCTCTAGCCTTGTTCTCCTTTTTCAAGACTTTTGGGCTACTTGGGATTTTTTGTGGTTCCATATACATTTTAGATTATTTGTCCTATTTTTGTGAAAAATGCTATTGGAATTTTGATAGAGATTGCATTCGATCTGTAGATTACTTTGGGTATTACAGACATTTTAACAATATTCTTTCAATTGGTGAGTATATAGTATCTTTTGACTTACTGTGTCTTCCTCAGTTTCCTTCATCCGTGCCTTATAGTTTTCAGGGTACTGGAAGGTCTGTCATCTCCTTGGTTAAATTTATTTCTAAGTATTTTATTCTTTTAATGTTTATTTTTGAGAAAGAAAGCGTGTGAGCAAGCATGAGTGGGGGAGGGGCAGAGAGAGAGGGAGACAGAGAATCTGAAGCAGGCTCCAGGCTCTGAGTTGTCAGCACAAAGCCTAATGTGGGGCTTGACCCCCAAACCATGAGATCATGACCTGAGCCAAAGTTGGATACTCAACCGACTGAGCCACCCAGGTGCCCCAAGATATTTTCTTTTCGATGCAACCACAAATGGGATTGTTTTCATAATCTCTCTTTCTGATGGTCCATTGTTGACGTAGAGAAATGCAGCTGAATCTTGTATATTGATTTTGTATCTTGCAACTGTAATGAATTTGTTTCTTCTAACAGTTTTTGGATGGAGTCTTTAGGGCCTTCCACATGTAATATCACGTCCTCTGTAATGGTGACAGTTTTATTTATTTTTTTCCGATTTGGATGACTTTCATCTCTTTCTTGCCCAGTTGCTCTGGCTAGAAGTCCCAATACTGTGGGAAGAAGCATCCTTCTCCTGTTCCTGATCTTAGAAGAAAAGCTTTCAGCTTCTCACTACTAAGTATGATGTTAACTGGGGGCTTGTAATGTACAGTCTTTATTATGTTGAGGTGTATTCTGGCTATACCCAGTTTGTTGAGAGTTTTTTCATGAATGGATATTGAAGTTAGTCAAATGCTTCTTCTGCATCTATTGAGATGATAGTATGATTTTTATGCTTCGTTTTCTTAGTGCGGTATATCGCATTGATTGATGTTGGACCATCCTTGCCCTTGGGAATAAATCCCACTTGATCATGGTTTATGGTACTTTTAGTGTAATAGTTAATTCAGTTTCCTAATATTTTGTTGAGGATTTTTGCATCATTGTTCATCAGGGATATTGGTCTTTAATTTTCCTTTTTTGCAGCATCCTTGTCTGGTTTTGGTATCAGGGTAATACTGGCCTCATAGAGTGAGTTTGGATGTGTTTCTTCTCTTTCTGCTTTTTGGAAGCCTTTGAGAAGGATTGATATTAATTCTTTTTAACGTTTGGTAGAATTCACCACTGAAGCCAACTGGTCTTGGACTTGTTTGTTGGGAGGTTTTTCACCACTCATGCAGTCTCCTTACCAATAATTATTCTGTCCAGATTTTCTATTTCTTCATGATTCAGTTTTGGTAAGCTGTATGATTTTAGGAATTTATCCATTTCTTTTAAATCGTCCTATTTGTTGGTGTGTAATTGTTCATAGCAGTCTCTTGTGACCCATTTGTACTTCTGTGGTATCAGTTGTGATATCTCTTTTGTTTCTCCCTTTATTCTTTGGGCACTCTCTCTTTTTCTCTTGGTGAGTTAGCTATAGGTTTTTCAATTTTGTTTGTTTTTCCGAAAAAACCAACTCTTAGATTCATTGATCTTCGCCATTGCTTTTTCAGTCTCTGTGTCGTTTATTTCTGCTCTCGTTCCTGTTGTTTCTTCCTTCTACTAACTTTGGACTCCACTCGTTCTTCTTCTGCTAGTTTTTGGGGGTATGTTGAATTACAAGACTGACCCTCAGGTCGAAGCAAATAGGCCTCTTTCACTGAAAGGCTGGAAACTTTTCAGTCGCCCTCCTGGGTGCTGGGCCCTGGGGTGGGTGAGTCTGCACCAGCCCTTTCAGGACTGCTTCTCAGCTCACTGTGGCCTTGTGGGTCTCATGAATAGAAGCCCTATGGATTTGCAAAACTAGGTGTTTCCAGTATCTTCTCTCAGGTGCAGGTCTAAAAAGTTGAGGTGCAGGGGTGCCCAGGTAGCTCAGTCGGGTTAGGTGTTGCCGCTCAGTTCAGGTCATTGTCCCCCAGTTCATGGGTTCGAGCCCTGCCTTGGGCTGCATGCTGACAGCTCAGAACCTGGAGCCTGCTTCAGATTCTGTGTGTCTCTCTGCCCCTCCCCGATTTGTGTGTTCTCTCTCTGTGTCTCTCAAAAATAAATAAACATTAAAACAATTTTTTTAATTTAAAAAGTTGAGGTGCCAGATGTGGGGTTCAAGCCCTCTACCCTTCAGAGAGAAGCTTGGGCTGCTGAGTTCCCTCCCGATGGTGGGTTACTGTGCCAAGAGTGGAGGTTACGGCGAGATTGCGTCTTAGCTCCTCGTGCCCATTTCGAGGGTGTCTCAGAACATCCACCCGATGTCTGTGGGTCATTCAGGTCGTGTCTGGGTTTCTTTTGGAGATAACTGTTCTGTGTGTAGTTCCCGGTGTGTCCGTGGGAGGGGGCGAGTGTCGGATCCTCCTACATCGCCATCTTGAACTAGATCCCTGAGATTTATTTTTATTTGCTCAACAAATATTCATAGAACAGCATGTGCCAGAAACTCTTATGAACACTTAAAAAATATTAGTTCATGCTTGAGGAGATGGGGGACAGACTGGGGCATAGAACAAATTGAAGAAAATAAGGTAGTCTGGATGCCTAGTGAAGGGCTTTGCTGGAGTAGATTGAATTCAGAAGAATATAGATTTCCTGTAGGATTCCAGGAGCATGAGAACAGGGCCAAGGCCTGCAAGCATCGGGCTCAGGGCCCCGGGCAGGTGGGAGGCCGTGCTGGGCAGGCGAGTCTTGGAGGAGCAGCTTGGTGGAGTAGCTTCCTTCCAGGGGACATAAGAGACATTATGCTAGGTCACAGGAGCAACCCGTTCCTTTATACGTAATAGTGAAGCCAGACATCCAAGAGCTCATTTCACAGTTAATTAATTACTTAGAATGATGATCTGGCTATTGGGATGTAGGGCCCTGTATGAACAAGGTGAATTGTTTAGCAGAGTGTTAATGTTGATGTCCATATTATTCATGAATTAACGTAACAGCTGCTCACTCTCTGAAGCGTTCTTACCAAAAGGATTCCCTGTGGTTTAAACAGATCTTTCAAGCTAAAATAATAGCTCATCTAAAGAAGTTGTTAAAAGCATGACAGTATTCGAAGCAATAATGAGAACGCCAATAGTAATCCGATAATGGGCCACCTGCCGTCTAAATTATTTAGCAAAATGGTTCTGTCCTACAAGAGGGGAAATGCCTGGTTGGAAAGGAAGACAAAAGGACTGTCAGTCTGAGAAAGATTTTATTCCAGTTCTGGCTCCCCAAAGTAGATGAGAAATAGTATGTGCCCACCTCGGAACAAGGAGTACCATGGAGCCGAGGTGGCTCTCTGGGCACGTGACACGGATGAGCGAGAGAGTGTCCTCAGTGAGCCTCCGTGTCCCCCCGGCCGCACCGCCACCCCTGACTAGACAGACCTTTAAATAGGCACCGTGCCCGGCGGATGTGCCTCTCGGGCGGCAGAAGCTGCGGGCAGGGTCCTGCTCCCTGACGCCTCAGGTGCACAAGGAGGCTTCAGACCTTGCAAGCCAGAGGAAGTTAACCTGGTGTACTTTTGTTTTAAAACGGAGTTCCCGGGACAACCGGGGGGCTCAGTTAAGTGTCCGACTCTCGATTTCGGCTCAGGTCATGATCTCATGGTTCCTGGGATCGAGCCCTGTGTTGGGCTCTGCACTGACAGCTCAGAGCCTGCTTGAGACTCTCTCTCTCCCTCTCCCTGCCTCTCCCCCCCCTCCTTCTCTTTGTCTCTCTCTTAAAATAAGTAAATAAACTTAAAAAAATAAAACAAAGTTCCTTTTTAAACAGTACAGCAAAGCCACTGTGACAACAGTAGCAATAATCAGATGTTTACAGCAGCGACTTCCCCCTCCTCTGCTGCAGGGCCGTTGCACCCGCGGCTACGTGTCATTAATTCTGCCACCGAAGAGTAGTTGAGTATTTCTCATACGAAATAAAATTTCACTTTCATGTGAACTGGGGGAAGAAAGCCTCAGCTCAGCACGTCTTTTTCTTGTAATACATGAATTGTGTTTTCTCTAGGTTTTCATGAAGCTGAAAAAAATTTTGCTCTTCCCTGATTTCAACCCAAACAAGATTGCCCTCGTTTCTGTAGCCTGTTGCTCTATGTGCCAGTGGGTCATAGCTTTGAATAACTATCATGAAGTGCAGAAGGTACGCTCTTTCCCCGGAAATATCGAGAACAGCCCGGAAGGGACGCTTCCTCGTCCCAGAAGTAGCTCGTGCTTAACAGTGCTCACAGAATACCTCACGAGAACCACTTTCCTCAAAGACCCTATGCTGACGCCTGCGGATAGCAAGTGCATCTGTTGGGTTGTTTTATTTATGGCAGCTGTGCTGTTTTAGTTGTTTTAGTGTGTGTTACCACACTGAGTTACTTTACACCCCTTTTGTGCACATCATTCCAGGAGAGGTTGTTATAAGAATTGACACAAATGCCTGCCAATCAAAAGCGACATTTTTAACGGCGAACTTGACCTTTTTGACCACTTAGGTGTTGTGACCTTCTTTTTCAGCTCGTGGGCCCCAAGCAGATCCAAGTGGCAGAAGCTGAACGTGTCCTAAAAATTGCACGACAGAGGCTGGCCGAAAAACAAAGAGGTTTGCAGCGGGTAAGGCATTATTTGCTTGTTAAACTTACAGGCACTTTGTGAGACGACTCGCCAAGAAGAGTCATTGTCCCAGGAGAGTTTACCAGTTCAGGAGAAAACGAGGATAACAAGGGTGGTGAAGAGATTAATCGTGGTTAAGTAAATAACACAGACACTATATGTAAGGCGCCATCACATAATAAGACGCTCAGTAATGCTAATTATTACTGTGTCCATAATATATTGGCCCGTTTCACCGAATTTCTCCCAGGAGAGCTTTGTGACTTCAGTTTACCGAAGACTCACCCAGTATCAACCTGTGTTCTTAAAAAATGTCCTTAACCTGTTTATATCAATTACTCTGTTGCTTTGTAAAGACATGGTTGTTTCTTTTTTTTTTTTTTTTTTTTTTTTGATGTTTATTTATTGTTGAGAGCGAGAGACAGAGTGTGAGCAAGGGAAGGGGCAGAGAGAGAGGGAGACACAGAATCTGAAGCAGGCTCCAGGCTCCGAGCTGTCAGCACAGATCCTGATGTGGGGTTCAAACCCACAAACCGTGAGATCATGACCTGAGCCAAAGTCGGATGCTTCACTGACTGAGCCACCCAGGGGTCCCAAGACATGGTTATTTCTTTTTTTTTTTTAATTTTTTTAACGTTTATTTATTTTTGAGACAGAGAGAACCAGAGCATGAGCGGAGGGGTCAGAGAGGAAGGCACAGAATCAGAGCAGGCTCCCAGGCTCCAGCTGTCAGCACAAGGAAACCCGACTCAGGGCTCAAACTCATGGACCGCGAGATCATGACCTGAGCCGAAGTCGGACGCTTCACCGACTGAGCCACCCAGGGGCCGCAAGACATGGTTACTGTAGAAAATCTTGGGTTTAAGCTAAAGTTGGGGTGTCATTATGGGAGCCAGGACTGAGGTCACCAGCCCTCAGACACACATCCTGAGAGTGGGTGAGGTGGCACCCTGCGGATGGCCACATAGCAGGGAATGTCTCCCAAACCCCTACATTTCAATGTGGTTATCTATACTTTAAAATCTGGGAATTTATTTAATGGGGCACCCGGGTGGTTCAGTCAGTTAAGCGTCCAACTTCAGCTTAGGTCATGATCTCACGTTTCGTGAGTTCGAGCCCCGCGTCAGGCTCTGTGCTGACAGCTCAGAGCCTGGAGTCTGCTTCCGATTCTGTGTCTCCCTCTCTCTGCACCCCCCCCCCCCCCCCGCTGGCACTCTGTGTCTCTGTCTCTCTCTCTTTCTCTCTCTCAAAAATAAACATAAAATTTTTTTTTTAATTTAAATCTGGGTATTTATTTAAAATTTGAATATCTGTCTTCTCCTGATTAATTCAGAAGATCAGGCAGCCCTGGGCCGGCATGCTCACCAGGCGATAATGAGCCCCCAAGTCACGTCAGGCATTTCTGTCACCTGCTTGGCCCCCTGGGCATTTCTTGCAAACCCAAATATGTATATAAAGTGTTGGACATTTTTGAAGGAAATTATTAATTTTTTTTCTTTATGTGGATAGGTCATTTTTTTGCTAATATTTTGTTGCAGGTTATGATCTACCTATATAGTAATATTTAGATACGTGTGGATAATAGCTGACATCCATTGTGTGTGTGCAATATGTTGCAAATACCATGCTGCTGCTTTATACAGACTTGTCATTTAATCCTCAGGTCAGCTTTCAGAAGGTTTATAAGGGCGATGTTTATAAGGGAGAAAACTAAATCGAAAGATTCAACATTTGTCCAGCATCTTTTTTTTTAATGTTTTTATTTTTGAGAGAGAGAGAAGCGTGAACAGGGGAGAGACAGAGACAGAGGGGGACAAAGGATCTGAAGCAGGCTCCACACTGACAGCAGAGATCCCGACGTGGAGCTCGAACCCATGAGCCATGAGATCATGACCTGAGCTGAAGTCAGACACTCAGCTGACTCATGCCCCCAGGCGCCCTATTTGCCCAACATCTTGAGCCTCTAAGTGGTGCCCACGCTCTAACCCAGGCCGTCTCGCTCAAGCCCACACACTGACCTCCGACCCTACAAAACTCTCCTATGCAGGAGTGATATGGGAGGCATCCGGCAGCCATTGTGGCTCAGGCACCAACCAGGGAGCGCCAGCTCTTGTCACAGAGCAGCTTCAGGTCCAGAGGCCACCAGAGAGGACTGACGGGGGGTAGAGGGCCAGGGTAGGCGGGGTAGGGCCGACAGTGGGCTCTCCAGGGCATGAGGCAGGCCCGTTCAGCAACCACCACAGATGTATCTCGACATTTTAACAACCGGTGTGCCTACATCAGCCTAGTTCTGTCCCACACACAAGTTAATGATCCAGGAAAGGAAAAAGTCTGCTTCGGAACTTAAAGGAAAACAATTAGACGCTATACAACCCGGTAAGCAGGCAGTTCGAGAACAGATGCAGTCGAGTCTCGGACAGCACCGGTCCGTCTACACGGATTTTTCCCCATAAATACCAGGACAGGCCTGTAAATGTATTTTTCTCTTCCTTATGGTTTTCCTAACGGCATTTTCTTTTTTCTACCTTGCCGTATTGTAAGAATATAGTCTGTAATACATGTGACATGCCGCGTGTGTGTTAATTGACTGTTACCAGTGAGGCTTCCGTTCAACAGCAAGCTATTAGAAGAGAAGTTTTAGGGAGTCAAAAGTTTTACGTGGATTTTCAGTTGCATGGGGGGTCGGCACCCTAACCCCTGTGTTCAAGGCTCAGCTATAATTTTTAATTTAGCGTAAATGTCCATTTGGGCTTTTTTTCCAATAATTATTAGAAACACTATGTAAATAAATCTTAAAATGATGATGTGCCTGGTTTTCCAGGACATTCTTAGTCACTAAAAGTCAATTAAAGAAAACTTGAGGGATGCCTGGGTGGCTCAGTCGGTTGAGCATCCAACCCTTGATTTCGGTTCAGGTCATGACCTTATGGGTCATGAGTTTGGGCACCGTGTTGGGCTCCGTGCTGACAGCGCGGATGGCCTGCTTGGGATTCTCTCTCCCCCACTCTCTCTTTGCCCGTGTCCTGCTTGTGCTCTCTCACTCTCTCAAAATAAATAAATAAGCATAAAAAAAAAAAAACAACTTGAAAGACTGAACAAGCAAAAATCAGAGATTTAAAGGGTCTGAGACAGAAGATGAGGAAAGAGAGGGATGAACAGAACAGTAAACCGATGAGACCCACAGACAGTGCAGGACACTCCACACAGCAGCAGAACCCACGTTCTTCTCAAGTGCACATGGACGTTCTCCAGGGCAGACCCGATGTGAGGCCACAAAATGAGTCTTCATGGGTTTTAAAAGATCAGTATTGTACCACGTATCTTCTCGGACCGCATGGAACGAAGTTGAAGCCAACAACAGAGGAAAACTGGGAAATTCACAAATATGTGAAGATTTGTAATCTGTAAACAATAAACTCTTGAGCAATCCCTGGGCCAAAGAAGAAATCATAAGGCAAATTAGAAAATACTTAAAGACGGGGCACCTAGGGGGCTCAGTCAGTTGGGCATCCGACTTCGGCTCAAGTCATGATCTCGCTGTTCCCGAGTTTGAGCCGCACGTCGGGCTCTGTGCTGACGGCTCGGAGCCTGGAGCCGGAGCCTGCTTGGGATTCTGTGTTTCCCTCACTTTCTGCCCCTCCCCCGTTCATGTTCTGTCTCTAACTCAAAAATAAACATTAAAAAAATTTTTTAATAAATAAATAAAATAAAGTTGCAAAATGCTAAATCAATATACAAAAATCAGTTGCATTTCTATAAGCCAACAACAAACTATCCAAAAAAGAAATTAAGAAATCAATCATATTTACAATTGTGTCAAAAGAATAAAATGCCGAGGAATACATTTAACCAAGGAGGTGACAGACCTATTTTCTGAAAACGTTAAGACACTGAAGAAAGAAAAGGAAGAAGACACAAATAAATGGAAAGATACTCCATGCTCATGGCTGGGAAGAATTAATATTGCAAAGCGCCCACACTACCCAAACCAAGCCTCAGATTGAATGCCACCCCTTGTCAAAATTCCAAGGCACTTTTCACAGAAATAGAACGAACAGTCCTAAAATGTGTATGGAACTACAAAATTTGTTACCTTTTGTCTTTTTGATGATGGCCATTCTAACAGGTGCAAGGTGGTGTCTCATTGTGGTTTTGTTTGATCAGCATTTCCCTGATGATGAATGATGTTGAACATCTTATCCTGCTGGCCTTTGTGTGTCTTCGTTGGGAGAATGTCTGTTGAGTTCCTTCGCCCATTTTCCAATCAGATACTGTGGTTTTTTGTTATTGACTTGCAGGAGCTCTCTGGAGATTAGCCTCTTCTCCAACATATGGGTAGCAAAACTGTTCTCCCATTTTGTTAACTGTTCTTTCATTTTGTTGATTGTTTATCTTGTTCTGCAGAAACTTTTGAGTTTGAGGTAGTCCCATGAATCAATTTTTGCTTTTGTTGTTTGTGGTGTTGGTGTTACGGCCAAAAAAATCATTACCAAGTCCAATGTCGAGCAGTTTCTTGCCTACATTTTCTACTAGGAGTTTTATGGTATCAGTTCTATGGTATTTAGATTTATTTGGAGTTAATTTTTGTGAGTGGTGTAAGATAGGAGTCTGCTTTCATTGTTCTGCGTGTTTTCCCAGCAGCATTTGTTGAAGAGACTGGCCTTTCCCCGTTGGGTGTTCTTGGCTCCCTTGTTGAGTTGCCAGATTTGCCAGATTTGATCCTGGGCTCTCTACTCTGTTCCACTGGTCTGTGTATCTATTTTATGCCAGTACCACACTGTTTTATTACTGTATAGAAATGCTACTGGTTTCTGTGTGTTGGTCTTACATCCTGCAACCTCACTAAAATTGTTGATTAACAGTTTTTTGGTTGAGTCTCTGGGATTTTCTATATACAAAGATCATATCATCTACAAATAGTGACATTTTTACTTATTCCTTTTTTTTAATTTTTTTAATCTTTATTTATTTTTGAGAGAGAGAGAGAGAGAGAGATAGTGTGTGAGCAGGGGAGGAGCAGAGAGAAAGGGAGACACAGAATCTGAAGCAGGCTCCAGGCTCTAAGCTGTCAGCACAGAGCCTGACGCAGGGCTTGAACTCACGAACTGTGAGATATGATGGTGAACTGAAGTCAGACAGTCAACCGACTGAGCCACCCAGGCGCCCCAACTTACTCCTTTCTGATTTAGGTGCTTTCTAGTTCTTTGTCTTGCGTGGTTGCTCTAATCAGGACTTTCAGGACTACATTGAATAAGAATGGAGGGGGCGGGCATCCGTGTCTTGTTCCTGAGCTTAGAGGGAAAGCTCCCAGTTTCTCACCGTTGAGTATAACGTTAGCTGTGGGTTTGTCATAACTGCTTTTTATTTTTTTTTTTAATTTTTTAAATGTTTAGTTTTGAGAGAGAGAGAGAGAGAGAGTGAGTAGGGGAGGGTCAGAGAGAGAGGGAGACACAGAATCCGAAGCAGGCTCCAGGCTCTGAGCTGTCAGTACAGAGCCCAACATGGAGTTCAGACTCACAAACACTGAGATCATGACCTGAGCAAAATCAGACGCTTAACTGACTGAGCCACCCAAGCTCCCCTGTAACTGCCCTTTATCATCTTGAGATTTGTTCCTTCTGTATCCAGTGTGTTGACAATTTTTATCATGAAAGTGTATTGTGTTCTGTCAGATGCTTTTTCTGCATTTATTGTGATGATCATGTGATTTTGATCATTCTACTGATTTGCACATGTTCAACTACCCTTGCATCCAGGGGTTAAATCCTTCATGGTCATGGTGTAACAAATCTTTTAATGTGTTTTTAAATCCAGTTTGCTAGTATTTTGTTGAGAATTTTTGTATCTATATCCATCGAGGATATTAGTCTGTAGTTTTATTTTTCAGGTCAGTTGCTTTATTATTCTGTAGTTTGGGATAAATAATTATGTTTCTGGATCTTTCTTGACTCTCTGTGTTGGTCTCTGTGCATTTGATAAAATAGCCACCCCTCCCTGTCCTGACAGAGTGGTCCAGAGAGGGGGATGAACCTCATCAGCCCAGCCTGAGCTCCTGGTTGTCTCTCACACCACTGCGACTGCCCAGGCAGCCTGTGTGTTCTCAGTCGCTCCCCGTATTCAGCGTGTGCCAAGATCTATCAATGTCCCAAAGAGAAGCATCTCAGTCAGCACTGAGGCTCATTGGAAGCCTGTGTAAATAGTTCTCTTTAGGGACAGCTTGGGAGATGGGTGTTTTTGTCTGCATCCTCGGCACTGAGCCAATTAAGATCTGTTTCTTTGTTTATTATAGTTCTATGGGACCCACAAATGCAAGAGCTGCTGGCCACCAAAGCCAGGTGCTCAGTGGTATATCCTCTGGGCCACAGCCACCAAGGCCGGGATGCCATATATGTGCACAAGTTCCTTCCAGGGAGAGGGCAGAGACCTTGAGTGTGCCAAAGGGAGAATGTGGAGATGGTACCTACTGGTCCCCCCTAAATGTGCACTAAGCTAGAAGCCTGGTCCTCAGGCCACAGCCTCATTCAGAGAGGCCTCTTTAAAGCAAAGCCTGGGTGGGAGACATTTCTATCTCCACCTTTGTGCTGTGTCCTGGGGGAACAGCCAGTCAGAAAGTATTTGTTTGCTGTAGTCTAGCGGTCCTATGGATGCAGGCCCTCTTGGCTTTCAGAGCTAACTGTTCGGACTCCCATCGCTCAGGCAGAAGTCTTAAAAGTTGAGACACTAGGTGTTGGGTTCAAAACCTTTGCCATCAGGGAGAAGTTGGGAGTTGGGAGTTCTCTCTTGTGTATCTCTTGCATATCGCTGTGCCAGGGGCGGGGTTATGGTGAGAGTGTGTCTCAGCCTTCCATGTTTGGATGTGAGTACTTCTCATTCGCCCAACATATAGGAGTCGCTCCGCTGGTTTCCGAATTTCTTTCATGGGGAACAGCCCCATGCGTGGCCGTAGGCTTGGTGTGGCCACAGGAGCAGGTGAGTTCAGATTCCTCATCTCACCATTTGGATCTAGAACTCCCTTTCACTTATTCTTGACTCGTGGTGTCTTCCATTTTGGTATGTACTCAATTCCCACGATCCTCACGATTTTTTGTGTATTTTTTATATTTTCACTCATTTACCCAACAAATACTTATTTATAATACTGTCTATTTGTTTTGATTATTATCAAGTGGTAGGCGAGAAAAAAATAAAGTCTACATTTCAATCAGAACCTTACTCACTGATACTCTCCATTCCCCTCCAGCTCGCAACCATGGCCTTCATGAGAAGTTGCTAATATGTTAACTCATTGAACTCACACAAGTGTATTTGAAATGTATATATGTATATAAAATACTGACAGATACACTTAATACTTTAAAACTGAGTGTAGTAGTTAACTCCACTGATTTTAAGCCCTTCACTGAGGTTTTCTCCTCACTGAGTTATATTCTGTCTCCCATTTTAAAAATAGGTCTCCTGTTCATCTGTGCCCTAGTGTAAAAAAAAATTGGTAAAACTCTAGGGAACTTAGGGGAAATCAATAGCGCAAGAACATATTATATTACATGAACATTCATTTAAAATGTTACCTTGGGGAGTACCTGGGTGGCTGAGTTGATTAAGGGTCCAACTCTTGATTTTGTCTCAGGTCGAATCTCATGGTTCATGTTTGAGCCCCACGTCCGGCTCTGCACTGACTGCACGCAGCCTGCTTGGGATTCTCTCTCTCTCTCGCTCTCTGCCCCTCCCCCATCCATGTGCACATGCTTTCTCTCTCGATCTCTCTCAGAAATAAATAAGCTTTTTAAAACACGTTACCTTGGGAACACAGCGTTGTCATATAATAGAAATTCCGTGTGTTTAAAGATGCTCAACATCACTGACTGTCAAGGAAGATACAACAAGATGCCATCATACACCTGTCAGGGTGGCTAAAATCAACAACACAAGAAACCACAGTGCTGGCAAGGATGGGGAGGAAGGGGAACCCTTGTGCACTGTTGGTGGGAATGCAACCACTGTGGAGAACAGTATGGAGGTTCCTCAAAGCATTAAAAAGAGAATTTCCATATTATGACCCAGTAATTCCACGACTGGGTATTTACCCAAAGAATACAGAAACACTAATTCGAAAAGAGGCATGCAACCCTGTGTTTATTGCAATGTTATTTACCAAAGCCAAGACATGGAAGCAACCTAAGTGTCCATCAGTAGACAAGTGGATAAAGAAGATGCGGCATATATACACAGTGGAATATTACTCAGCCATAAAAAATAATGAAACTTGCCATTTGCGATAACGTGGATGAAGCTAGAGAGTATAATGCTAAGCAAAATAAGTCAGAGAAAGAAAAATACGTATGATTTCGCTCATACTTGGAATTTAAAAAAAAAAACAAACAAGCAAAGGGGAAAATAGAGAAACCAAGAAACGGACTCTTAACTGCAGAGAACACAGTGCTGGTCACCAGAGGGCAGTGAGTGGGGGGGATGGGGGAAATAGGAGATGGGGGATAAGGAGGGCACTTGTGATGAGCACCGGGTGATGTAGGGAAGTGTTGAATCACTGTATTATACACCTGAAACTAATATAACCCTGTACATTAAACTGGAACTAAAGAAAATAAAAAAATTTAAGTAAGTAAGTGATGGTACAAAGCAAAAAAAAAAGATTTCATGTGTTTAATTGAATCCGTAAGTCGTTCACTTGAATCTTTATATGACTCGCTCGGCCATGAGTAGCAAGAGTGTTTTCTCAGAAAAATCAAATCGGAGGGAATGAGCAAGCAAACACAACATTTTATATCAGAGTAGAAGCAACGGAGTAATGATTGTGGGTGAACCAGGAGTGCGTCGTAAATCATTAGTCACTCCAAAAGTAGCTCGTGTGTGTATGTGTTTAAAGATTAGGTATTTTCACCAGGATAACATGTTTAGGATAGGAGGAGAAAGCACAAATTATGAACTGCGTTCAGTAGGCACAGTTTTGTGAACACAGTTTGTGAACCTGCCGTGTTCAAGTCCCCATGCTAAATACAGTCTTCCAAGATTTTGAGAAGACGAAAACATCTTTCAAAACTACAAATGACAACATAAAGATAATATAAGGATACTGAGGCCACAACCCCAGAGATAATAACAGGCAACGTATAATTACTTCTCAAATGGCAGTTATAAACTGTGGACTTGACAAGACTGAGGCTTTGTGACAGCTGCAAAGTGGTGAGAATTTTAAAGAATGCCTTGGATCTGCACCCCTTTAAGGAACGGTTTCAGGCATTAGGAAAGGACAGGAGCCACATCCCAGAAGGACACACGTTTAAGGAGTGTTTCAGAAATGTGGACAAAAGCAGTCTGGCTACAGTGTACTATTACGGGAAAGGACATGGCGTTGGGGAGGAGGGGGTTGGGGCCAGACCGTGGAGGCTTTTATTGACAAGGCCAGAAATTTGAGCCATATCTGTAGGCAGTCACTTCTATAGAGACTCAGATGCTCCAATGCTTTTGAGCAAGGGCGCTAGCAAGATAAGTGGTAATTGAAGGAAATCACCTTATCGGCTGTTCACGAAAATGTGTTTCCAGCTGACTGCCTGCGGATGGTCTAATGGCCACTTCGTCCGACCAGCCTTACTTCGAAAACTCATCGGTTCCTCCAGGCTGGTCAGTGTATCTAGAATGACGAAGTTCGGTCACTTTGTTAGAGAAGGAAACTGGATGTGACACAACATTTTCAGTGCAAAAAATAAATCAGAAAAGGATGAATCTTCAAGGGCCAAGCTCGTAAGAAAGCCTAGTGAGGAAGGTGGCATTTTACACAGTAACTTTAGTATCAAGAAATCCTGTACTTAGTTACTACATTTTTCTTGTCAACACAATCCTCTGTCCAGGATGTGTAAATGGAGTGGTTACACACCATACGCGTACAAATGACAGTTAAACTCTTGAGGCAACATGAGAGTGACACTTGGTCTCAACGGTGAACGAACTGTCTTTCAGGTGGAAGAACACGTGCTGGCCTTGCAGGCGGCCTACAAAGACCTCGTGGCCAAAAAGCAGCTGCTAGCAAACAGAAGGAAACGGGCCACCAGGCGCCTGCAGTGTGCATCTGTCTTACTAACCAGCCTGGAAGGCGAGAAGGTGTGGCTCTCTCTGGCTTTATGTCCCGTCCTTAATGGCTACTGGGCTTGGCGAACCCAAGATGTCACTTTCCCTGAAGGTCGTATCACGTACCTCCTCAAACTCTCTTCTCGTCCAGTCTTTTTTACTGAGATCAGCAGACACTCCTGATAAAAATAAAGGAGTCCTGGGGCACCTGGGTGGCTCAGTCGGTTGAGCGTCCGACTGCTGCTCGGGTCATGATCTCACGGTTCGTGAGTTCGAACCCCGCGGCGGGCTCTGTGCTGATGGCTCAGAGCCTGGAGCCTGGTTCAGATTCTGTGTCTCCCTCTCTCTCTGCCCCTCCCCCACTTGTGCTCTGTCTCTCTGTCTCTCAAAAATGAATACATGTAAAAAAAAAATTTCTTTTAAATAAACAAAGGAGTCCTGGTCAAGTAGCCTTAAGACAGAGGGAACAGACTGCACAGATCAGACCTTACTTTCTCTTGCTCCCAAGACGTCAGTTCCCTTGTCTGATGAGGGGCACAGAGTCCGTGAGTATGTCATGAGCTCCCCGGTCCAGCGCAGGGACCACCCCCGCCGAACGCATGAAACAAGGGTGGCTGAAAGGGAGGGGATGTCATCAGGAAGGGAGAGGAACACCTCTAGAGATCTTTTATCTTCTGTTTTACATTCCCCCTGATCCTCCCTAAGCTTCAACCTCGTCCTCCGAAAGTGAAGTCAGTGGCTTTTGCTTAACAGGGTATTAGAAGTGCCAAGTGAGATGTTCAAGGTAAAATGCCGGTTAGACATGTTAGGATTCGATAAATGCTGATCACTATTATTATTGAATATCATTAATAATACAGTGAATTACTCTACTTATGTTAAAAGTTATCTTCATCACACAAAGGATTTGACGTGGCTATCAGCCCTAACACACATGACACTGTTGACAAATCCAAGGGTAGGACTCGTGTTATCCTCAGAAAACAGTTTGTGTTATAATGTCCTCCATTACTCCCTTCGATGCAAACACCGATGAAAAGGGTCATAGTGGTAGCAACGCTGGGTCCCAGTGGAGGACCATGAATACCTAAATGTCTCATGATAGCGTATTTGATGTCAAGTTTCAAGAGCTCACTTTTATGTTAACATTTAGACTCAATGGCCAGAAACAATCGATCAAATAGACAAGAAGTTGGAAAGAATCTGGGGTGACGTGCTTCTTTCAGCAGCGTGCATCGTCTACAGCGGGGCGTTGACAGCAGAATTTCGCCAGTTGATTGTGAACAAATGGGAGACTCTCTGCACCGAAAACAGCATCCCTTTGTCGCCCAACTTTTCTTTAATTGAAGTCATGGCCCCAAACCACGAGGTACTAACGTATTTCTATTATCAGTTAAGGGGCTGCTGTTGTTGATTTGAATATGGGGTGTAAGTGCATTTTGTTTTGGCTTAGATCTTTTCCACAACTTGTTTTAACAAAGGAAAATACTGAATTTTGTTCCGGGTCTTTAAAAAAAATTGTTTTTTAAATTATAGTTCTTTCTTTTTTTATTTTTTTTTTTTAACGTTTATTTATTTTTGAGACAGAGACAGAGCATGAATGGGGGAGGGTCAGAGAGAGGGAGACACAGAATCTGAAACAGGCTCCAGGCTCTGAGCCGTCAGCACAGAGCCCGACGCGGGGCGCGAACTCACAGACCGCGAGATCATAACCTGAGCCGAAGTCAGACGCTTAACCGACTGAGCCACCCAGGCGCCCCTTTTAAATTATAGTTCCAATGCCTCAGTTCCATCTCTTTCCCATCCTCTGGGCAAAAGTCACAGAATATCCTCTTACTCGTTGTAATCCTCCCAACCTACCCTAAGAAGTATAGCCAGTTTCTCTCCCAGAAACCCCTTTCATTAATAAAATCGGTGAACTTACTGAACCACAGGTAGCGTTCTTAGAAAGAGCCAAAAATATAGACCTCACATTTATCCACGTATCAATAAATATTTGTTGTCGATCTATGTTGAAAGGATAAAAAAAAGAAATACCTCTTTTTTAATTCATCCCCAGAGAGTAATTTTAGATTGATTCCCCCAGTGATAACTCAACTTAAACTGACTATCCAATCTATAAAAAGTCTCAGAAGCAGATACTGGCTTCTCATTTTCATAATAGTAGTAACCAACTTAAGCCCAAACATATCCGTCATTACATTAGATGTAAACAGTCTTAAAGGTCCGTATGTGTGCCAGGACAAACAGTGACACCAAAGGAGAACAGAGAGCCCAAAACAGGCCCATACACACACAGACAAAGCTGATATTACAGTGCAGGGAGGAATGGGTAGTCTTTTCAGTAAATAGGGCCGAGTAATTGAATATCTGGAAGGAAGGAAGGAAGGAAGGAAGGAAGGAAGGAAGGAAGGAAGGAAGGAAGGAAGGAAGGAGAGAGAGAAAGAAAGAAAAAGAAAGAAAGAAAGAAAGAAAGAAAGAGAAAGGAAAGAGAGAAAGGAAAGAAAGAGAGAGAGAGAGAGAAAGAGAAAGAAAGAAAGAAAGAAAGAAAGAAAGAAAGAAAGAAAGAAAGAAAGAAAGAAAGAAATTTGACCATGACCTCACACCAAACATAAAAAGTCAACTGCAGTTGAACTGTGGACCCAACTGTGGAAGACACAGGAATAAAGCATAATTTAGGAGAGTATGTTCATGACCCAGGTTAAGAAAAGATTTTTCAAGCAGAACTAACCATAAAGGAAAACATTAATCGAATTACATTAAAATTTACATCTTCTGTTCATCCAAAGACACCACTGAGAGGGTGTAAAGAGAAGTCAAAGAACAGGAGAGGATATTTGTAACACCTGAGTTCAACAAAGGGCCGAAGCGTCCTAGCCGTGGTACAGTAACCACCAATCAATGAGCAAGAGACGTTCAACCCAGTAAATAAATGGGCGAGAGCCTTGAACAGGTCGCTCACAAGAGACTATGCAAATAGCCAATAAATATTTGAAAGGGGCTTACCATCACTATTCATTGGGGGAATGAGAGTTAACTCTAGAGATATCACAACACATCAGCCAAAGGACTAAAATCTGAAAGACTAACAATATTAAGAGTCAGCACGGATCTGGAGTAACAAATTCTCATATACTGCTGGTGAGAATACAAAATGCTAAAATCATCTTAGAAAGCTGACTTTAGCTACAAGTATTAAAAATCCACATACCCTAAGACCCAACAGTACTAGGTGTTTCCCCAAAGAAATGCATATATAAGTTGATCAAAAGAATATAAAAGAACGTTCACTGTGGCGTTGTTTTAGCCAAAAACTTGAGACACAATCCAAGTGCCCTCCCCAATAGGATGGATAAATAAATAAGCCTGGGTATGTTCATACAGTGGATACAGTTGGAGCACTACACCCACAAAGCCAGACAGAAAAGAGGATATACTTTAACTTTCCTTGATCGAAAGTTCCAAAATTAGCAAAATGAAACTATAGGAATACCTACTTCAGTAAGACAATAAGGAAAAGCATGAAAGTCGGGGGCATGATTAATTTTTTAAAATACAAACTCTGGGAGCGCCTGGGTGGCTCCGTCGGTTAAGCACCCAACCTCGGCTCATGTCACGATCTCACGGTTTGGGAGTTCAAGCCCCACGTCAGGCTCTCTGCTGACAGCACGGAGCCTGCTTCGGATCCTCTATCCCTGTCCCTCTGCACCTTCCCCACTCACGCCCTCTCTCTCAAAAATGAATACACATTTAAAAAAAAATCCAGAAGCAATTACTGAATATGAAGCTTTCTTAAAAAATCAGGGGCGCCTGGGTGGCGCAGTCGGTTAAGCGTCTGACTTCAGCCAGGTCACGATCTCGCGGTCTGTGAGTTCGAGCCCCGCGTCAGGCTCTGGGCTGATGGCTCAGAGCCTGGAGCCTGTTTCCGATTCTGTGTCTCCCTCTCTCTCTGCCCCTCCCCCATTCATGCTCTGTCTCTCTCTGTCCCAAAAATAAATAAACGTTGAAAAAAAAAATTAAAAAAAAAAAATAATAATAATAATATAAAGTAGAAACTCGAGTCAGCAGCTTATATCTCTGTCCACGCTGACCTCTGCTCCACGCCTCTACTTGGGGGCAGTCTGTGCCCCAATCAGCGGGACTCCCTGTGGTTTTCAGGATTCTTCGCCCCCTCATGTTTCCTTCTATGTAGACGTCAAGAGCACACAGTTCTTCACAGGCTTAAACAAAATATTCTTCTTTCTTTCAAAACTGAAAAGTATCCTTGGCTCCTCACGGGGATGCCCTGGCGCCTCTCCCTGGAATGTCTCTGCTGTCCTTTCCTTCCCCGACCTCCATGGGCCTTCTGGGCTTTTTTCTCCCAACCTGCTGAGACTGCCAGGAAATCCGGATGAAGTTTATCCATTGGAGTCAGCTTCGGAGTCAAAGCCTCGGTCTGCCTCTTATTCTGACGGCACGACCGCGGGCGAAGCCCAGTTCCTCCTCCTGAGAAGTGAGGGCTGCAGCAGTGTAACTAGACGATGACGTGTGTCCTTGGCGGCGGGTGTGCGGTGGCCGCCGCGCCTCCATCTGTACGATTCTGTGGCATTGCGCGTGTCACAGACACGTCGGAGCCCAGCGTCCTTGGGAACAGGCGCCCGTCCTATTTCGTATCGATCTCCCGTCGCATCTTTGTTGTGAGGGCCGCTCCTCCGTCCTGATGAACAGAAAGGGGTGATTTAGCGAATAGTTACCCGGAATTCGTATCCCAGTGTTTTAAATGATTCATGTCCTCACTCCTTTTAAACATCATTTGCTTTTTCTAAAGCAGTGGCCCTGGAGGGTGCCTCAGTGTCCCGTAGGGACGGCACGAGCAGGCGTGTGGAGCAGCGGAAGCACTAACGCTCTCATTCCAGATCCGCCGGTGGCATTCTCAGGGGCTCCCGCCCGGTCAGTATTCAACGGAGAACGCCATCTTGACCAGGAACAGCCTGCAGTGGCCACTGCTGATTGACCCACATAAGCAGGCTCACAACTGGATCCGGCAGACGGAAGGGTCCAGGCTGCAGGAGCTCTCCATGGAGGACGGCAGCCACATCCAAACTATTGAAAATGCTGTGAAGACAGGAGGGAGTGTCCTCTTGCAGGTATTTGGACGGAATGGCCTAGCTCCCTAATTCGTGCAGCTGCAGTATAGACCGTATGCACCGAGCGTAGACTCCCCTAATTCCCTGCAGCTGCAGTATAGACCGTATGCACCGAGCATAGACTCCCCTAATTCGTGCAGCTGCAGTAGAGACCATGCACCGAGCATGGACCCCCTAATTCCCTGCAGCTGCAGTATAGACCGTATGCACTGAGCATAGACTCCCCTAATTCGTGCAGCTGCAGTATAGACCGTGCACCGAGTGTAGACTCCCCTAATTCCCTGCAGCTGCAGTATAGACCATGCACTGAGCATGGACCCCCTAATTCGTGCAGCTGCAGTATAGACCGTATGCACCGAGCACAGACTCCCCTATTTCGTGCAGCTGCAGTATAGACCATGCACCGAGTGCAGACTCCCCTAATTCGTGCAGCTGCAGTATAGACCATGCACCGAGCATGGACCCCCTAATTCATGCAGCTGCAGTATAGCATGCACCGAGCATGGACCCCCTAATTCCCTGCAGCTGCAGTATAGACCGTATGCACCGAGCACAGACTCCCCTAATTCGTGCAGCTGCAGTATAGACCATGCACTGAGCATGGACCCCCTAATTCCCTGCAGCTGCAGTATAGACCACGCGCCGAGCGTAGAGACTAAAAGCTTTTAATTACAGGTAACTTTGTCAAGGGAAAAGTAATAAGTACATACGTACAGTGACTTTTCAATGTTCAGTTCTCTCAGATCAGGCTTTCTTTGGTGGCCAAGTACTAACAAGATTTACATTTTTAAATGCTGTGACTTTCCAACTGACTTATTTATTATAAGATGAACTTTTTATCTTTGTCTGTTGGGTCTTTCAGAATCTCCCTGAAACATTAGCTCCAAGTTTAAAGGCAATTTTGAAGAAGGAGATCTATCAGAAAAGAGGACAATATTTCATAAGGGTCGAGGATTCTGAGATTGAATACAATTCCCAATTTAGGTAATGTCTCTCACAGTTAAATTGAGTCAAATGTTTGTATTCTCCCAAGATCGATATCATGGAAGGCCCTGTGCCTCAGTCCTGGTGAGCTTTTCCTGGAGGAAATGGTGAGATTGCGTTTGGAATGTTTTGTTTGTGTTTCCGGGGCACATTCATCAGTACACAGAAGAGAGAACGGAGTTTTGTTCATCGAGCCGTTCCCAACCAGCATTTTCCGTGCCGTGCCTGATAAAACCTGGGGCAAGAGGGGTCCCCAGAAAGGTGTGGAGTGGCAGCCAGCCGGAAGCCGGACCCCACTCGACCCCACTTGATCTGTTTGCATCACATCTGATTTCGGCAGGAAAAGCTTCTGCTCCTTTATCAGACAAAATCCGTACTGGATATGTGGAGGGAGCAGGGAGAGATTTTGCCTGGTCCGATGAAAACGTTTCCATGTTCCCGGCAGTTAAGGACCTTCAGGAACTCTGCCCCCCCCACCAACTCCCCGACCAGCCAACTTCGCCAAGGACTTTTATACCGTCACATTGAACACTATAAAAATGCAGTTCCCGAGGGAATGAGACATTTGAGTTGCCAGAGACAAGCACTCTCCCTGTGAACTCATAACCAGCAGGTCGTTATGTAGGGAGTGATCAGCACAGGGGAGTTAGAAGCTGGGTTTACTGGTCCCCAGCCCGGTGTGCTTAACTGCGCTACGGGGGCTCTGACACGCTGGGTCCTCACCTGGTCCTGGTGGTCAGTGGGTCGATCTGTGGGTCAGCGGGTCCTCGCCCCCGGGCAGGGTCCCAAAGTCTGGCTCCTCACCACCCTCTTGCAGCCGGGAATCCCCTCTCCCAGCCTCCCTCCTTCGGTTAAGAAAACATTTTGCAAAGTACAGTTATGTTCCTCCAAACAACATTCTAGGGATTTGATAGGTGTCACTCAAAAAAGGGGTCCCATAGTTTTGAAAAGCGCGAGGTTAAAGAAGGTTAGACAGCAGGCCTTTTCCCTCGAGGACTTAAAATCCCTGATTTAACAAACCCTCTCCGGGACACAGCCGACAAATTACAGATTGAGCAACAGCCCCAGTAATGAATGAAGCAATGTCCTGCTGAGTGGACAGCCCGGTGCCCGTGTCTGAATTGTGTGTGTGAGGAGGGGGTGGAGGGCACGGTCGCGGAGGGCAGACTGGCGACAGGTCCCCGCTCTGTCACTTTCTGGCCGTGGACTGTGAGCAGCTTACGTGGACCCTCGCAGCCCCCATTCCACCCTCTATAAAATGGGACGAGGAATCGCCCCTGCTGTATTGGGGTATCGGGTCATGTGGAGACCGCACAAGGCCCAGAATCACTCCTGACCCTCCCCCCGGGCACCACCCTGCTCCAGGCCACCATCATCTCTCCCATGTTAACCAGTCGCCCGCTTCCTTCTCCCCCATCCCCACCCCCACCCTGGTTACTGTCCAGGTGGCAGCTGGAGGGGCCCGTTGGAGAAGGCCGGCCACCCTCTGCCCCCAGCTTCCGTGGGGCTCTCACTCGGTGCAAACACCACGGTGCTGACGGTCCCCAGAGGGCAGGTCAGGGCTCCTACTAGTTAGTTAACACTTCTCTCTCCTCTGTCCCGATGCGGGGACCAAATATGGTCGGAACGTAATCTGTGGCTGTGTTTTATTTTAAGTTATAAACAGCAAATTCCTTCACAGAGTATAGATGGAGAGCCTATTTTGCATACAGGGCTGAACAACACTAAAAATTAACCGTGTCTGCTTCCGGGAGAAATATTTCTTTCCACTATTTCATAAATTAGTTTCCTTTGTTTTCCTGCCGCCGCGGGCCCTTTGAATAACTGGCGTCTTTCTCATGCTTTAGGTTGTTCATTTCCACAGAGGTAGACAACCCCCATCTTCCTCCGTCGGTTTATAACTTTGTTACCGTGATCAACTTCACCTTAACGTTCCGAGATTTGCAGGATCAACTCCTTTCTACGGTATTAACTCACGAAGTTCCTCACTTAGAAAGTCAACGTTTCCAGTTGTCGGAGAGTATATCCCTTGATGCTGGGACTCTTGAAGAGCTAGAAGAACAAACGTTAAATGTACTGGAGACCGTCCAAGGTTAGTTAAGGTATTTCGTGGCATTGGGAGACCTTTGCTAACTCCGTGAAGGACAGAAGAAAAGCCAGAAGGGCCCTATTCTGAATCGGTACCAAAAATACCAGATCTGCCATTTCCACCAGAGAACTGATTGATGGGGGTGAAACACCCTGTCTCTAAAATGAAATGTGGTCCCACCTCTGTGTCAGCTCGTCATGCTGCAGGACATTCGCCACGAGGCAGTCAATAGAAGTTGTAAGAAAAATCCTACAGAGGCTGGCGGGTGCCTCCTTGTTCTCTGCCATTTACGTCAGTTGTCTGACATCTGTTCTATGTATCAGGTTAGACTGGAGACCTAAAGAATAGGTTTCCCCACGAATTCATAACTAACATATACAAGGCCATAATGCGGTGACTTGTGTGTGTCCCATTAAAAGATGGTGTTTATTACAATAGCAGTAGAAACGGTTTTCCTCTTCGACACAGGAAGTAGCTAAGAAACCATACTCTTTACATTTCACAAAATAATTTCTAAACAGCTAAAGATGAAGCATTACAACTTCCTGGGGCGGACTGGCTGCTCTGCCCCTGAAGGGGTCCTGGATCCCCAGTTTCAACACGCAGGATGGGGGTGCGCTCACGCTAGCAAGCATGAGACGCTAGACGGGTGTCCTACGGGTGCCGCCATCCGACACTGTCTACCCGGAGCCGGCATCAGATTCCCTTCCCCTTACGGTTTCAGTCCCACGAGACCGCCCCCTCCCCACAGACGGGCTTCAGATCCCAAGTTCCAGCAACCCCTCCTGAGGTCTGATTCGTTTGCTGCAGCGCTCACAGAGCCCAGGAAACCCGTTTGCTCTCTGGATTCCTGGTCTCTTGTGAAAGGATGGAACTCGGACCAGCCTGGTGGGCGTAGACGAGGTCTGGGGACGGTGCGGCTGCCATGTTAGCCCTCTGTCCAGCACCCTCCCTCCCGGTGAGGTGATCCGCCGTCCTGAGGTGGAGTCCAGGGTCGCCTCGCTAACCTAACAAAACACACCTTTCTTACCCTCTTCTGTCCTTTAGAAATCCCCAGGGTTTTTAGAGCTCTCAGCCGGGAGGAAGACCTCGTGTATATTTCTTATTATAGGTCACAGGGTCACAGCTCATCTGAGGTCACATACTTGTTATCTAACGGTGGGTTCCTGTTCGTTCTCTCTCTTTACTGGCGACTCTGGGGCTCGACCGACTCTCAGATGCTTTCGTTCCTATTAAGGATCGACTACATTCCTTCCTGTTCTAATCACAGCCATTACGCTATTTCTGTGTAACATATGGCTAAGCCATGCTTCTGTTAATGACAAGACCAGTCACATGGGCCAGGTTGTCACGTCTGTTTCCCTCGGGAGGTGGAATGAGTCAGCAGCAAAAGCAGGACACGTAGGTCTTAGGTGACACACAGAAGGCGACACGGTTGGTCCGACTCACAAGTCCCGTTTCATGAACCGTTATATGCAACTGTCACGTTTGGGCTATAACTTTTGTCTACGTTGAACCAAAGACAGACTTGATGAGACAAAAGGAAAGTTGTTTCTGATGACACACATCAGCACACGCCCGCACACGCCCGCACACGCCCGCACACGTCCGCACACGTCCGCACACGTCCGCACACATCCGCACAGCGTGTCATTATGCCTTTGGTGCTTGTTCCTACCGCTGTTCCTCGTGGTAGAGTCTGAGGGTTGTTTTTTTTTTTTTAAGTTTATTTATTTTGAAAGAGAAAGAGCACAAGCGGGGGAAGAGCAGAGAAAGAGACAGACAGACAGAATCCCAAGCAGGCTCCACACTGCCAGCAGAGAGCCCAGCACAGGGCTCAGTCCCACAAACTGTGAGATCTTGACCTGAGCCGAGATCAAGAGTCGGGTGCTTAACTGACTGAGCCCCCCTGGTGCCCCTCTGAGATTTTTGTAAAGACTAACCTTTTACTAATAGTGGTTATAATGTTACCAGTAGTGGTTATAATAAAAATTGTTCTGGAAAAAAACTAAAGAGACTCCTTGACTCAGTACATATTTTTTCTTCCCTTTTTCCAAGTTTTAGTAAAGTAGATCATCCTTATATCTCTTTGTAAATATTCTATCTTTACTGTGGCTTCCAAACCGCTGTGGTAAACCCAGGTAGAGTGGGGACTATGAGAGGTAGCCCATAGCTGAGGTCCAGACATCACTTAGGAAGCATCACCGAAATCAAGAAGCATGCGGTATCCCGGTCGTGGAATGTAATAATCCCATCATTCCTTGAAATGATCATGTGAAGCTGGGTTTAGTTCTAGATACCACGTTTTAAGAGGGCTCTTTTCAAACCAAGGTGTCCCAAGGTAAGCATCAAGGACAGTGAGGAGTCTATCAATCATATCATTTACAAAAGCACCTGAGGAAAATGGGAATGTTTTGTTCATAAAATAATAGAATTTCTGATGGAAATATGAGAATCGTCCTAAATATTCAAAAAGGATAGAATTATTCTGTGTTTCTAGAGCAATGCCTTTTCAAAAGATAAGTTGTAGCCTGATAGTGGAATGAGAAATCACTTTCCTTGGTCATTATCAACCTGATTTGCTTAACAAAATAGAATACAATAGAAAATATCAGAGTACATCACAGGAAATAATGAGGCACTTGTTATTTTCTAGAAATTTGGTTTTCATTTCCTTCCGTCCTTCGGACGGAATGGCTACTTATTATGTGCTTACAGTAAAAATAGAACCTACATGGGGTGCCTGGGGAGCTCAGTCGGTTAAGCATCCGACTTCAGCTCAGATCATGATCTCACGGTTCATGGGTTCAAGCCCCACATCAGGCTCTGTGCTGACAGCTCGGAGCCTGGAACCTGCTTGAGTTGTGTGTCTCCCTCTCTGTCTGCCCCTCCCCCACTCATTCATTTCTCTCTCTCTCTCTCTCTCTCTCTCTCTCTCTGTCAAAAATCTATAAAAATTAAAAATAGAACCCACACACACTGAAATAATATAAAGAAGAGATAAGTGGGGGGGGGTACATGTGTGCTATTAACCAGATTATTCAGAAATATGACTCAGTTAAGAGCCCATCTCCAAAATAAAACCACCAAAAAGTCAACTGTAAAAACTCTTACAGAGGGGCACCTGGGTGGCTCAGTCGGTTAAGCATCCAATGCTTGATTTCAAGCTCAGGTCATGATCCTGGGTCCGTGGGATCGAGCCCCACATCGGGCTCTGTGCTGACAGTGTGGAGCCTGCTTGGGATTCTCTCTCTCTCTCCATCTCCTCCCTCCCTCCCTCCCTCTCTCTCTCTCTTTCAAAATAAACTTGAAAAAAGAAACTCTTTAGAGAAAGATTTGAGGAGGAGGGAATGAACTGTGTTTAACATTCCCATGGTTTTTATCCATTCAAATTCATTTTTTGTCTGTAGCACGTGTGTTAGATGATGAGGAAATTGTAGACATCTTAAGAAAATCCAAAACGACTTCAAATGAGATTTCCAAGCGCATCAAAGCGACAGAAAAAGCAGAAAGTGAAATCCAAACGCTGCGGGAACACTACCGGTCTGTCGCGACTCGAGGCGCCCTGCTCTACTTCCTCGTGGCCGGGCTCGCCCGCCTCAACTCCGTGTACCAGTTCTCCCTGGACTGGTTTCGCCAGGTGTTCGTTCGATCAGTAGCTCCCCGGAGCAAAGAACAGGAACACGGCCTGAAGAGGGAGAAAACGTCTCAGAAAAAAGTTGGTGATACCACAGACCTCGCCAAGGAACCAAAGTTCGAGAGCGACAGGCATCTCTTGGAGAAACATCTGCAACAGTCAGTAGATGTGCTGACAAGAAATGTTTTTAAGGTGAGACCTTCTCTTCTGTGACTTTTACAGACTTCTGTACAGGAGGAGGGCTAGTCTGACGTTAACGTTTCCCCCTAGGTGGTGTCCTCGGCTCTGTTTCACCAACACAAGCTGTGTTTCTCCTTCCGGCTTTGCACCACGATCATGCAGAATAATGCTGGGGGCAGTCCAGTGCCGGATGACATCGGGTCCCTACCGGACGAAGAATGGGACATCTTCTTACATTCCGACACGTTGACGAACGTTAAAGGTGTGATGCCCCAGCCTAGGCTTAACAGTAAGTAAAACGTCCTTGCTCTGGGTTCAGCAAAAACCTGTTAAAAACGTGTTTCCCTGAAAAACCCCGAGAGATGTTTAAGGTGCTCCAAGCCGGTGTTTCTATATGGACTAAACTAAAAGTAGCTTCAGGTCAAGTGTGACGTGTAATTCATCCTTGTATCTTCATCCATTGAACATATAATTGGTGCTTAGTAATTGTTGAAGAAGTGAATGAATGAATGAATGAATGAATGGCGTTTGCTGTGGTTATTGTAATCCTGTTGTATTACACCGAATGCCCAGTGCTGGTCGTTAAGGACACATGCACACACACGTACACACACACGCACACACACACACTGATTAAATACCACCTAGAGCGAAACTTTACCCCTCCTAACCACAGTCCCCCTCAGTTTCTTATGAAAATTCCTTGAAAATTTGAATCACAAAAAATCATGCTTCTGCAAAATGGTTAGCAAAACCACGTAAGTGCGGGATCTTTTCAAATCCTCCTGTGCTGCACATTTTTAAATATATTTATTTCTTAAATTGTGGTAAAATACACACAGCATAGAATTCACCTTCTCAGCTATTTTTAAGCATGCAGTTCAATGGCACATCGTAGTGCTGTGTTGGGACCTTAAGTCACAGGAAGTGTCCAGTTAAAGGTCGTCTGATGCTGTCCCCGAGGGAGAAGAGGGGCTGGTTTGGAATGTCCTTGGCAAGTTTTTGAGACTATTAGCAGAGCATAGAAGTCAGAAGGGAAATACAAAAGAATTGCTCTTGAGGACACCAGACGTTTGGATAGTTTTGTTTTGGTTTTCATTTGTTTTTATTTTACTGAAGCCTGGTATGCGGATGTTCGGTAAATGACTGTTGAGTCAGTAAATGTTCTTATGAGTTTATTAAGATTGCTTTGCTTGCAGAAAAACAGACAATAACTCAGTATCTTGGGGCGCCTGGGTAGCTCAGTCAGTTGAGTGTCCGACTTCGGCTCAGGTCGTGATCTCGGGGTTCACGAGTTCGAGCCCCGCGTCGGGCTGTGTGCCGACGGCTTGGAGCCTGGAGCCTGCTTCGGATTCTGTGTCTCCGTCTCTCTCTGCCCCTCCCCCGCTCATGCTTCTCTCTCTATCAAAAATAAAAACATTAAAATTTTTTTAATAACTCGATATCTTAAACCCAAAAATAAAATAAAAATGTTGAGAAGGAATCTGGGGTATCTCAGGAAACAGCAAGGAAAGTACGCAGAGCCACGCAGCAGCACGAGAAGAGCGGTGACTGCTGTCACCACAACTCAGCGCCCAACAGTCCTCGGTCAGACCCCACGGGTCCGAGAGGGCGGGTCTGCGCGCCACAGCCCCAGTCAGGGACCCGCTCCCGAACCCCTCACCTGTGACCAGGAGACAAGGCCGGCAGCCAAACAGCCAGCCCACCGGCATCCCCTGCACTCGGAACCCTGAAAACATCTCCAGTGTATTTAAAGAAACAACAAACTTTAATAGCTTCCCTTATTATTATTATTATTATATAAGCAGCATGTGTTTATTAAGCAAACCATTACAACCTACAGAGAAGCAAAAAGAAGCAAATGAATCTTGTGTAATTCCACAGTCCTGAGATAATCGCTGTTAATATTTTTGTGGTTTTTCCTTCCACTAGTTTTCCTCCCTATATGTCTTCTTTACATACATTCATACTCGTATAAGAATACTCCTGTATTCTTTAAGGTGACTTTGCTGAACAGACTTACACCTAACCTTTTTCAAATTAATGACATGTCACAAGGAGCTTCCTCTGCCAGGAAATAGACTTTTAATGTCTACACGACATTCCAGTTTTTGAATGGACCAAAACTCAAGTAACCACTCTCTTAAGTTAGAGACTTGGGTCTCGAAGCACTATGATTGACATATAAAGTATCCTTTTCTGTCCACAGGGACTGAAATCGATATCATATGAAAAATCCAAAATGTGGATATTGATGTGGATATTAAATAACATACTCTTAACCAATGGGTCAAAGAAGTCACAAGGGAGATTAGAAAATATCTTGAGACAAATAAAAATGAAAACAATACGTCACTTATGGGATACAGCAAAAGCAATAGTAAGACAGAAGTTTATAACTATAAATGCATACGATAAAAAAACAGGTCTCAGGGCGTCTGGGTGGCTCAGTCAGTTAAGTGTCCGACTTCGGCTCAGGTCATGATGTCGTGGTCCGTGAGTTCAAGCCCCATATCAGGCTCTGTGCTGACAGCTCAGTCCAGAGCCTGCTTCTGATTCTATGTCTCCCTCTCTCTCACTCCTGCTCATGCTCTGTCTCTCTCTCTTTCTCTCTCTGTCTCTCAAAAATAAATAAAACATTAAAAAATATTTTAAGGGGCGCCTGGGTGGCTCAGTCAGTTAAGCATCCGACTTCAGCTCAGGTCGTGATCTCACGGTTCGTGGGTTCGAGCCCCGCGTCGGGCTCTGTGCTGACAGCTCAGAGCCTGGAGCCTGCTTCGGCTTCTGTGTCTCCCTCTCTCTGGCCCTCCCCAACTCACGCTCTGTCTCTCTCTCTCTCAAAAACTAAATAAACATTAAAAAAAAATTTTTTTAATATTTAAAAAAAACAGGTCTCAAATAAACTACCTCAAAGAACTAGCGAAAACAAAGAACTAACTAAACACAAAGCTAGCAGAAGGAAAGAAACAGGAAAGAATGAAGCACAAACAAAATAGAGAATTAAAAAATAGAAAAGAAAACCTATAGCTGGCTTCTTGAAAATATCAACAAAATTAACAAAGTCTAAGCTAGATTAATAAAATAAGACTTGAATAAAATCAGAAATGAAAGCAGGAACATTAAAACTGATGCTCAAAAATAAAAAGGATCATAGGGGACTACTATGAACAACTATATGCCAACCAGTTGGACAGCCTAGAAGAAATGGAAACACATAATCTACCAAGACTGAATCATGAAGAAATGGAAAATTTGAACAGACTTATAACAAGTAAGGAGATTGACTCATTAAGCAAAAATCTCCCAACAAAGAAAAGGCCTGGGCCAAATGGCTGCACGGGAAAATTCTACCAAACATTTAAAAAAGAATAAACACAAATTTTCCTGAAACTCTTCAAAAAAAATGAGGAGGAGGGAACACTTCCAAGCTTGTTCTGGAAGACCAGCGTTAACCTGATACCAAAGCCAGGGATTCCTTCAGAAAAGAAAACTACAGACCAATATTTCTGATGACTATAGGTGTAAAATTTCTCAACAAAATACAGCAAACCAGATTCAATAGCCTATTAAAAGGATTACACACCATGACCAAGCACAATTTATTCCTGGAATTGCAAGGACGTTTTTACACAAGAAAAACCAATCAATGTAATAACCACATTAACAGAATGAAGGACAAAACCACATGACCATTTTAATTGAGGCAGAAAAAGCATTTGATAAGATTCAGCTCTTTCAGGATTAAAAACACTCAACAAACTGGGAATAGAAGCAAAGTACGTCCACACAGGAAAAGTCATTTGGGAAAAACCCACAGCTAACATTGTACTCGGTGGTGAAACACTGAGGTTTTTCTCTAAGATCAGAAACAAGGCAAGGATGCCCCCTGCTCTCACCACTTGTTTTTAACAACGGAAGTTAAAGCCAAACATTAGACAAGAAAAAGAAAGAAGAGACATCCAAATTGGGAAGGAAGAAGTAAAATTATCTTTGTTCACAGATGACATGATCTTCTATGTAAGAAAACTCTTAAGTGTCCACAAAACCCCTGTTACAGGTAGTAAACCAAAACAGCAAAGTTGCAAGATACAAAACCAATGTACATCATCAGGTGCTTTTTTATACATTAACAACAAGTAATATGAAAAGGAAATTAAGAAAACAATCCCATTTATAATAACATCAAAAGGAATAAAACACTTCGGAATAAACCTAACTGAGGAGGTGAAAGATGTGTACACTGAAAACTATAAAACATTGCTGAAAAACATCAAAGACAACACAAATAAATGGAAAGACATCCCATGTTCATGGATTGGCATACTTAATATTGTTAAGATGTCCATACGAACCCAGAGCAATCTACAGATTCAGTGCAATTCCTAACACAATCCCAAAGGCACTTTTTGCAAGTATAGAAAAATTCTTCCTAAAATTCATGTAGAATCCCCAGGGACTCTAAATAGACAAAACAATTTTGAAAAAGAAAAACGAAGTTGGAGGCATCATACTTCTTGGTGCCAAGCTCTAGTATAAGGCTACAGGAATGAAAACAGTCTGGCCCTGGCATAAGGACAGCTAAACAGACCAATGGAGCAGAACAAATTAACCCTCACCTATATGGTCCAGTGATCTTCAATAAGGACGGAAAGACCACTCGGTGGAGGAGAGGACAGTCTCTTTAACAAACGGAGCTGGGAAAACTGGGTATCCACATGAAAAGAATGAAATCGGATCCTTATGCCAAATCAAAAACAAACTCGAAATGGATTCAAGATCTAAATGTAAGACCTAAAACTACAAAACTCTTAGAAGAAAGCCTAAGGGAAAAGTTTTCTGATAGTGGAGTCGGCAGTGATCTCTTGGATATGACACCAGTGCACAGGCAACAAAAGCAAATACAGACAAATAGGACTACATCGAACTTAGGAACCTCAAAGGACACAAACAACAGAGTCAGAAGGCAACCTGTGGAATAGGAAAAGCTATTTCAAATTCTATATCAATAAGGATATAATATTAATAAGGATATTGATAAGGAGTTAATGTACGGAGTACCTAAGGAACTCAATAACTCAACAACAACAAAAAATCAAATAACCCAATTTAAAAATGGGCAAAGGACTTGAATAGACGTTTCTCTAAAGATGATACACAAACGGCCAACAAGCATATGAAAAGATGTTCAACATCCTTAATCATCAGGAAATGCAAATCAAAAGATCATAATGAGATATCATCTCACACTCATTAGGATAGCTGCTGCAAAACAAAACAAAAACAGAAAATCACAAGTGCTGACAAGGATGTGTGGATATCAGAACCCTTGTGCATTATTGGTGGGATTGTAAAATGGTGCAACTCTTAATGGAAAACAGCATGGAGGCTCCTCAAAAAATTAAAAATAAAACTACCGTATGATCCAGCAACACCGTATCTACGTACATAGCCACAAGAATTGAAAGCAGGGTCTCAGACTGATATTTGCACACCTGTGTTCACGGCAGTACTGTTCACAACAGCCGATAGGTGCAAGCAACCCAGATATCCACCAACGGGTGAAGGGATAAACAAAATGGTGTATACGTGCAAGGGAATATTTTTCAGCCTTGAAAAGGAGGACAGCCTGTCACCTGCTACGGCATGGATGAACCTGGAGGACATCGTGCTGAGTGAAATAAGCCAGTCACAAGGAGACGAAGACTGTAACTGCACTTACACAACTCCAGGTACCTGGAGTGGCTGGGATCCGAGAAACAGGAAGTATGACAGGGGTGCCCAGGGGCTAGGGGAGGGCTGTTTCATGGGGACAGAGTTTCAGACTCTCAGGGGAAGTTCCGGAGATCTGTTTCCCGACAATATGAACGTACGTAACACTGATGAACTCTACACTTACAGTTGGCTAAGAGAGAAATTTTATGTGTTTTTGCCACAATAAAAAGTGGCCATTTGTGTAACTGATTTTTACATAACATGAGCTTTTCCTCAACAACAGATATTTATTAATCGTCTGCTTTTGGTGAGCAACTCAAAGGTCAAGAACATCGTCTCTTTTTAACATGCTTCTTTCCCATTCTCTATTAGACAGGTATGAAACTTGCAGAAATCGGCACCTTCAGTGGTTGTCGGATTCCACGTGGAAGCAGTGTCTGTACGTCAGCCACGAACTTGAACCGTTCGCTCTGCTGTGCGAGTCCCTTCTGTCAAATGTGTCACAGTGGGACGCTTTCAAAAGCAGTGAGGCTGTCTATTGCCTGATGAGCCTGCCTTTCTCTCCAGAAAAGGCTCCAGCGGAGGAAAGGAAGAAACCACCGGAGGGAAGTAAGAGAGCATTCAACGTTCTGTTTACTCTGACCTAGTCGCGCGTGTGCGTGTGTGTGGATTGTCAGCTTACACATGTGGCTCAATGTCTTATGAGAAAATCGCAGGGAGGAACGTAGCTCAGCTGTGAGCCCGGCTCGTGTCGCTTAATGCAGGCTTCACGCGGGTCTTGCGACTGAGCATGAACTCGGGCGGCTCCCGCGCCACCCACCGCCACGCGTGCACCCCACCCGTGTCCCATGGGTCGTTTTATGTAGCAGGTGCGCTCTGGAAGTCGCTCACTGCAGATGGCGCTGTTTTCGGCACACCTGTCCTGTCGCGCCTGCCCCTCGGGCGCCCTGCCCTGCTCGCTGCCCCCTGACCTCCACCCACATCCTAGCGTGTCTCCCTCCACACTCCTGTCCACTCTTCTTCCACATTCCTGTCACAAGATGCCACTCTGTCTCGTGGGAACCGACGCATCCTTACAGGCATTTCCTTTGCTCTTTTTCCTTGGGACAGGCGGCCAGAAAGGGACCTCGTGGATCAAAAGCATATTATTTTTATGGTAATAGATTGCCGCTAGGTTGCTTGTCTGAAAAGTCCAGCATAATTTCTGTTTCCACCAGCGATACATGACTTCCTCTTTTCCAAGAGGGCTATTGATTTTTTGGTAACTTTTGCCAATCTGAAAACGTTAAGGTACTCTAACTTGGATTTCCTGGCCAGCACTACATTTAAGTACCTTCTCGGGTGTTTGTTGACCATTTGGATTTACCTGTTAATGTACTCGGCCCATTTTTCTACTGAATTGCTCATTCTTCTTTGGCCACCTGTAAGAACCCTACTGGTGTAATCGATGATCAGCTCTGTTTCGTCGAGGATGCTAACTTGTTCGTTCAAGTATTTTTACAAATCGGCCACTGTCGGTTGGATTTATCGATGGTGTCTGTGCCAGCCATGCTGAAGTGTCTGTGTGGCCAGTAGTCACGTCTATTTTTCTTTCTTTTACAGCTTCCTGATTTCCAGTTCGGATTTAGAAGCTCTCCTCCC